ATGAGTGAAACTGGTATTGATAAGCTCCAAAAACTGCTTTGTACAACAAGAGTGAAGCATTGTCAATGAGATAAGGTGACACTTGTCATTATCTTCTGCTTGGTTTGATCTATCAGGAATTCTAATATTTCTTGAATGAATGAGATAGAACATATAAAGTGTTTAGCACAGGGACAGTCTTAATAAATGATCACTATAATTAACAATGACTATATCAGGATATGTGTTTGTTGCTCACAACTATAAAGTGGCCCAGATATTAGCATAACAAGATGATTTTTCTTTTTGGCCTTGAAAATAACAGATTGCCCTGCACTTTTTCTTTTAAAAGCTAACCTTTTTATTTTGAAGTAACTTTTTGATATGTGAAAAACTTCAAATCAGGACATCAATTATGCATCTGTTGGATAAATACAGTGTTGTAGATGTACAGTACTCGGCTTGGGGACGTAAGTCACAGTCTTTCAATTAAAAAAATTTAAGTTATAGTCATGTGCAAAACACCATGTTTCTGAATGAGTTATATAAAGAAATGTAAGACATAGTTTCTGTCCTCAAGGAATTTGCAGTGTGGTTGAAAGACAATACATGCACATGTGGAAGGTTTTAGAAAAGTATGTAATTATTTCATGGACCTAGTTTTCCCTTTATTTCCTACAAATTAACTTCTTTTGGTCTTTTTTCCTCTTTACTTTTTTATATACTTATTTTTCACATAAATATAACCTTTTATGTCTGTGTTTAGAATTCAATTCAGAGCCTCCTTTTAGAAGGTTACCTGATTTTTGACTTAGCAAAGTAACTTCTCTGACAATGCAACAATATCCTTTGTTATTTTCCATTTTTAAATGTGTTTAGTCACCATGCTCATTTTTATTTTTCAACTATATAGGCATAGTAATTTTTTTAATGTATTTTTTAAAGATTTTATTTATTTGAGAGAGCGAGTGAGTGAGAAAGAGCGCATGTGGGGTGAGGGGTACAGGGAGAAGCAGACTCCCTGCTGAGCAGGGAGCCTGATGGCAGGGCTCGATGCAGGGCTCGATCTCTGGACTCCAGGATCATGACCCGACCAGAAGGCAGACTCCTAACCGACTGAGCCATCCAGGCACCCCTAGGCATAGAAATTTTTATGTTGTTGTTTTTGTGGGGAAAGGTTGGAGAAAATTATGAAACTTTAGACCTTGACATTGTATCTTATTCTACTTGAACTTAAACTTTCTGAAAGGAATAGTGACAAGGACTCAGAATTTGGTCTTTCTTTCAAGATCAAATCTTATAATCTTTCTTCATTCTTTCAAAAATTTAGATATATATTTCTATATCATAGGACAAGAGGGAGAATAGATAGAAATTGTTAGACATGAAGAGAATTTTCTAAAATCCTTGGTTGCTGACCTTCTAAGAACAGTTTGACTATTGTAGATTTGAAATGTATTTTAAACAATTGACTCCTACATATTGAAAGAATATAGTGTCTCGCCCACATGCATCTCTTGTGTTTCTCCTTATGTATGTAGGCTCCATGCCCAACGTGGAGCTTGAACTCATGACCCTGAGATCGAGTCGCATGCTCCACTGATTGAACCAGCTAGGTGCCCTATAGTTTTTGTTTGTTTGGTTTGTTTTTTCTCTTTAAATGATAATGGAATTTTGGTGTTATTTGGGTTGGTTTGGTGTTACTTCTTGTCTTTTGTTGAAGTAAAAGGACTCTAGACAGTTTCTATAGGAGAAGCAGCCATCTCTTAAAGGGCTTGGCTCTGCCACTCAATGTAGCTACTTTCAGGCCTTAGAGTTTACAGGTTTTGGGGAGCCTATATGTTTTATCTTTCTTGACAATCAGATACGTTGGATGAAAGTGAATACTTTTTATTCTCCATTTCCTAATGCAGTCTCTGTAAATTCAAAGGTCAAAATCAAAAGGAAAATATCCCTTTGAAAGACAAACCTGATAGCTTGTTAGCAGGAGAAATACTTAATGGAAGGTACAACATTATTTTATTTTGTTCATTTGTTGTTTCAAGACGGCTAGGTCAAAGTGTTTTCAGAGCGAGACCATAAAGTGTTAGCCTATTAATTGGATTGGAGGATATTATGACTTCCTGCCATGACTGTTTTTAGTGTTCTTTCTCTAGTTTTCTTACAGAATTGGAAGTAGGTGATTTTGGTACAAATAATTCTCTTTTGTTGCTAAATAAATGTCTTTTTGAAGCCTCTGTTCTCCTACCACATTCAGTTTTTTTCTATATTAAATATGATTGTACCAAATCCATTAAATGGAAACTTCAATAGAAGATCACTTCTGAAGAAATAATTTTTCTTTAATATTGCAAAGGAAAAAGAATCAGCTTTCTTTCTTAATTTCTATCTTCTATAATACTTGCTCAACCACCTACTGAAAAACCAAATTCTTGAGTCAGCCTCAAATTCATAGATGATATAATTACTTCAGACCACTATAAAACATAACAAAAATATGTTTAATATAAAATTACCTATAGTTTATAATTCTATCAGTTATGGAGTGAAAAACGGATTTAAGGTACCTAAATAAAGCTGCTTTAATGGGAAAAGTTTCTTTCTTTTTTTTTAAAGATTTTATTTTATTTATTTATTTGAGAGAGAGAGTGAGAGAGAGAGCACAAGAGGGGGTAGGGTCAGAGGGAGAAGCAGACTCCCTGCCGAGCAAGGAGCCTGATGGGGGACTCGATTCTGGGACTCCAGGATCATGATCTGAGCCGAAGGCAGTCGCTTAACCAACTGAGCCACCCAGGCGCCTGGGAAAAGTTTTCTGAAACTAGTTCTCAATCTTTTATTTTTGTTCGTTACAGCTACTATCATAACATTTTAAGATAGGGAGATCCTTTTTTAAAATTATTAATGCCAAATTCATCCCTTTTAAAAAGTAAAAAGTTTCAATACAAAGCAGCAAGTTATAAAAGTATATAATAGCATCCCTTTTTATTTCAAAAAATATGGGAGATATATATGTATAAAGGTCTTTAAGTTATATATTAAATTATTTGTCATAGGTGGTTGACTTATTTTTATTTCAATATTGTTTGGACTTTTGGTTAGAAAAAAGTGGAATTAAAATAAAAGGTGTAGGTGATAAAGCTTTAACTGAAATTGATGTTGAAAGTGTTTCATCAAAAAGGAGGTTTTCTAAACCTTGAGAGAAGACCATTTTATTGGATTACTTTTATGCTTGGATATAATATAGCCATATGGTATATAGCATTTCAGTATTCAATTTAATATTCAGTATTTAATGTATTGTATCAAAGGAAGAGAAATAGTATAATGAGTGAAAAGATTAAAGGTACAGAAAAGTAAACTAATTCTGCTACCTAGAGTTATCTTAATTCATTTACCAGGTTAATTAATTAATGTGATCATTGCAAAGGCCAAAAAAAATTTCAGTCAGAAATACCATGATATAATTTGCATTCCATTTTCTGTGTGAGACTATAAATTGTTAGATATTGCAACATATGTAACATAAACCACATGTCAGCTGTTTCCGCCTCACTGTTGACAAGAGCCCCATTCATAACTCTTCTTTTTATCCTTTCAGTGAATAAGTAATTATTCAATATAGAAGGCAGGATATTTGGAACTGGCTATTTAATGTGGCAGCACTCTGTAATGAAATCTGCTGCTACTGGCAACCTGAGAGGGGAATGTAACAATTCCAGCATGGCTGTAACTTTATCTGCTTTGACTGACTTTATTTGGCACATCAGTGAACCTTTTATCCCAGTGAGTGACAGCTCCAGAAGGGTCACATTTACATCCATTCTATCATGTATTGTAATATTTAATGGAGGACAAGGTTGAGCGAGACTGGGAGTAATTTGAACTTGCTTTTCCACTGAGTTGAGGCTGAAAGACAGCTTGATCCCCAGTATTGTGGTGTAACGTGCTATTACTTAGCATTTGTTTATGAAGGCTATTCTTACTGATTATAATTAAAAAAAAAAAAACAAACTTCGGTTAAAAGGTGTATTTGTTCTATTGAACAAATTCTCTTAAGCTACTGTGCTATTTAGCTTTTTTTCCCCATCAGTGACCACTTCTATAAACTAACGATTTCACGGGATTTCTCTTAAATGAGGCTGCATTTTGTCTCATTTGTATAGTAATTGAGGTTGAGGAGGGAATAGTTATTAAGAACTCATGTTTCTAATATATAGCAATGAACTTTTTATTTTATTTTTGAGTTTGGAAACAGAAGAGAAAAATCAGGTAAATAACAGACTATATTCCTGCCGTTCCATATGTTGCGTTTAGGAGACATTTATCTAATTATTTTAATTGTGGAACTGAATTATGAGTAAAATTGTCCAGAAAAAGCTATCCTTAAAAATTTTACTGATGGATTTGAATTCCATGACAGGTAATGGAATTTCAGATGTATTTGTTCCACACAAGCAACCTGCCTCATTATTAAATATTAATAATTTGCATTCATTTGCATCCCTTTGCTAGAGAATAGTTTTCTTGTTTTTAATGCTATTTTAGATTCAACTTGATATTTCTATTTTTTTTGTAAGGTATATTTAAAATGCTCTTTAAAGTGTTGGTATAGAATATTTGAATGAGCTACACTGTGAACAAAAATAGCACTATCAACTCGAAACTGTAGTATTACGAGTTCATTTGAAGCCTAAGCAAAAATGAAAATTGTACTCCATTTTGTCTTATTTTTCTAATTAGAATTAAAACCTCTTAAAACATTTGGAATTTGAGAGTCGGAATATGTTAGAAAGCCATGCAAATATGGAAACATTGTAACTTTTAAGAGTGCAAGAAAAACAATTTGAAATGGAATTTGTATTTTTTTCTTTAATGGCAACTTTTAGATAATGTAATATCTTGACATTTCTCTTTATTTGACAGTTGTGATTTATTACTTATAGATTCTGATTCTGTGCGGGGTTTAATAACGTTTTTTGTGGTAACCAGGCATAAGTTGTCTTTTCTTTCCTTTGTTTCAGCCCCCTGGTCACTGTTCCAGGTGTTGTTGTTCTACTAAACAAGGAAGCAGTCAAGATTCCTCAAATACCACTAAGAAGGATCATGGGGGGAAATCCAAGATACCCAAAATATATTTTGGGACACGCACACACAAACAGATAGCTCAGATTACTAGAGAGCTCCGGAGGACAGCGTACTCAGGGGTCCCAATGACTATTCTTTCCAGCAGGGATCATACTTGTGTCCATCCTGAAGTAGTAGGTAACTTCAACAGAAAGGAAAAGTGCATGGAATTGCTGGATGGAAAAAACGTGAGTAAAGTTATTTTGTTTTAGAGAAAAAAATAAGGCTGAAAAGATTCAATTTACTCAATTTTTTACATGTTCATTTTCTGTTTCATATGTGTATTCCCAGTGATAATCAAATAACTTATGAAAACCAAATGAATTGCTAGTATTGCTATTTTTTTTTTTTAAAGATTTTATTTATTTATTTGACAGAGAGAGAGACAGTGAGAGAGGGAACACAAACAGGGAGAGTGGGAGAGGGAGAAGCAGGCTTCCTGCGGAGCAGGGAGCCCGATACAGGGCTCGATCCCAGGACCCTGGGATCATGACCTGAGACAAAGGCAGACGCTTAACCACTGAGCCACCCAGGTGCCCCTAGTATTGCTATTTTTTGAGAAATAATTTTACCATAAGAAAATCTTTCTTCAAGTTTAAAATGATAGGTTTTGGTTCTAAAGCTTGGGGATATTTAATTCCTTGAAATTAATTTTCTAGTACCTCTTTGAAATCCCGCTACCAAAAATAGTCAAATATGGATGATGTCATAGGAGGAGATAAAAGTATTTAAATAATTTAGCCTAATTCGATCTAATTAGTATATTTTATATATTTTAAAACTTCATGAGAAGATAGTTTATTTAGGCTCTCTCTTTGAGTAAATTTTTAAATGCTTTTTAATTGAATGAGAAATATAATGATTATCCTATCTTGTAATTCTGATAAGTACAAACTTCTGTTTCAAAAAAAGTTATATTAAATTATTAACTTTAAAGATATGTCGTTGGTGGTTTTGAAGTTTTCCAGGGAAATCTTGAATAATATGAATTTGGTCAAGGTGGAATTGAGAAGTCTTCTTTAGTAAAAACAATTTATTTGGCGGTATTAGTTTGGTAGTCTGTGTTTAATAACTCGTTTAGTCTGAAACTGAAGTTACAAGTCTGGAATATACTCAGAAATTATTCATGAACCATAAGTTGATAGTCTATGAAATGACCAATGGTAAATTAATATATTTTGAAAGTTGTTCTATCTTTCACTAGTATTTTGTCGAACAGAGTTGGTTCTACACAAAAGGCTATGAGCCATAGACCTTAGAGTTTCATTTAATTGATGTATCACCTTCTACCATGTAATATGAATATATTATTTTATATTATGCATTTCTTTCTCATTGGTTATAAATAATTGAAGATACCTGCTTTTGGTTGCCTGGACCTAATTCTGCTTCAGAATGCTTAGCTCATAGCCATACACGAACATTCTTTTTCTTGTTCTCAAGTCCTTAGGGTAATTTGGTATTGTAATGATGGCCAATTACAAAGTCACTATAGGTGTCTATGTTTACTGTGGCTGAATTACCAAAGCGAAATGATAAATAGATATCTGACAGTTTGAGTGAAAAAGAGTTTAAAAGTGTGATAACACTTCAATTGACAGACTCCCCTCAGGGTTGTGTTACACGGCTAAAATGGATGAGCCATTCTAATTTTGCTATCAGCCTGCGCAGGAGTGTCATTCTAAGTGCCCTTAAAGTCTAAACTTTCCGATTTTTGGGCTTGATCCAAAGGCACATGTGTTTTTGTTCACTGTTTCTTTTACGATAGTGCTCCTATACTGGAAAAGCAATGCACTTATCTGCTAAAAGTTAATTTTTGTTTCAAATAAGAAAAACTAATCTTAACTAGCCCTAGAAATAATTCTAAAAAATTATTTTAGATATGGAAGAATGTGTTTTTTGTGAAGATGAGATTTAACAGTTAATTACGTTCTCATTATTTTAATGTTGGGCCACATTTTAGAGATGTATCCATATGTACATATGTATAGAAGAAGTATAAATGAAATACATCAAAATGTTACTAGTACATTCTTTCTGTGATAGAATTATAGATAATTTAGTGGGATTTTTGGTACTCTGTTGTATCTTCCAGATATTTTATAGTGAACACTCTTCTGTTTTTTTCCCCTAAGACATCCCTTTCTCCCTTTCTCCTTTCTTCCTTTCGTTTTACTTCTTTATATTTGATTAAGTAATACTGTCTCATGGCTCAAACTGAAAATGTACAGACATGTTTATAAAGAAAAATCTCTCTCACTCCTGTCCCCAAGTCACTTAGTTATCTTTGAAAGCAACCAGTGATACCATTGTTCTTGTGTATCCTTCAAGAAATATTTTTGCCTAATATCACTTTAATCAGAACAATGGCACAGCAAACATAATTCAAAACATTTTTTTTCAGGTTAATTTAGAGTATCTAGAGCTATACTGAGTCAACTAATAGAGTTTCTTTAAAATGGTTGTGATTATGGTTATGGTATAATTTCTCTCGTGTAAAATCTTTGCCTTGTGGTTTTAATGATGTTCTGAAAATTCTGAGATAAACTTGTTTTATTCCTTTGTTGATTCACATTTCAGTAACGCATGTTTGTTTTTAGGGCAAATCCTGCTATTTTTATCATGGTGTACATAAAATTAGTGATCAACACACATTACAGACTCTTCAAGGAATGTGCAAAGCCTGGGATATAGAAGAACTTGTCAGCTTGGGGAAAAAACTAAAGGCATGTCCATATTACACAGCACGAGAACTAATAGAAGATGCTCACATAATATTTTGTCCTTACAACTATCTTCTAGATGCACAAATAAGGGAAAGTGTGAGTAACTATGTGAAAAGTAGAACTTTTCTTCTACTTATTGGAATGTAAATGATCAATGTGAAAGCTTTTAGATGTTTTACTTTTTACTTTATTTTTTGCTTTATATTTAATTTATGAAATGTATAAGCAGATTAGAGTACTGAAAACATACACTGAGGTGTATTAAAAACTGAATTTTAGATCTTATCACCTTAATGTCCAAGGTAATTAATACTTTTAAGGACCTAGTACTGAGTGGGATTTTGATGGGGTTTTTTCAGCCTATAATAGTGACATTTTGGGCTTGACAATTCTTTGTGGTGGTGATTTATCTTGTGTACTGTAGGATGCTGAGCAGCATCTCTGGTTTTATCCACTAGACACCAGGAGCACCCTTACAGCTGTCACAATCAAAAAGTCTCCAGACATTGCCAAATATAACCTGGGGGTGCAAAATTACCCCCAGTTGAGACCTAGTAATAAGTATCACTCCTCCTACTTATGAATGGTCAGAATTATTTTAAAACATTCATCTGAAGAATCTATAGTTTGAAGAACTTTGTGGGGAGAATATGTATACTATGTAAATTATGCTTTGTGAGCTTTTGCGAAAGGAAGTTTGGATATAGCATTTGTGTTTATTTGCATGGTTTGTCTTAAAACCATCCAGTTGTTACAGCATAAGAGAAAAGGTGAATAACTTGGGGGAGCCTGGGTGGCTCATTAGGTTAGTCATCCGACTCTTGATCTCCGCTCAGGTCTTGATCTCAGGGTTATGACTTTGTGCTCCATTAAAAAAAAAAAGCGAATAATTTGGTATATTCACCTGTTATTCCTCTCTTTAGATCTTACTGCACAACTCTCATTAGCTTTCTATTTTAAAATTAATAGGCATTATTATGTTTACTCTTTCTACTGTCCTACCTCTTATTTGGTTGCCTCTTAGCAAGGCCCCTTTCATTTGAGCCACTGTACCTATTAATGCCAGGTCAGTCTTCCTAATACTACTTTTATTACAGCTTTCTTCTGCTTCAAAATCTATTGCACTCTTGGCTCATGGGATAAAATCCATATTTCTTTTTTATTTTATTTAATTTTTAAAAATTTTTTAAATTTAAATTCAATTCATTAACACAGTGTATTATTAATTTCAGAGGTAGGGTTCAGCGAATCATCGGTCTTATATAAAACCCAGTGCTCTTTACATCACGTGCTATCCTTAATGTGCTCTCCTTAATGTCCATCACCCAGTTACCCCATCCGCCCCATTCCCCTCCCCTCCAGCAACCCTGTTTGTTTCCTATGACTGAGTCTCTTATGGTTTGTCACCCTCTCTGACTTCGTCTTCTTTTATTCTTCCTTCCCTTCCCACATGATCCTCTGTTCGGTCTCTTAAATTCCACATATGAGTGAGATCATATGATAATTGTCTTTTTCTGATTGGCTTAGTATAATACTTTCTAGTTCCATCCATGTCATTGCAAATGGCAAGATTTCATTTTTTTTTTTTGATGGCTGAGTAGTATTCCATTGTGTGTATATATACCACATCTTCTTTATCAATTCATCTGTCGATTAAAGTCCATGTCTCTTAAGCTTACTCTCAAGATGCTCAATAGTCTGGCTTGAATCTACCTTTTTGGACATCTCTGCTACAAACTCCCAACTTGGACCCTTCAAGAATTACCTCATAGTCCCCTGAGGATACCTTGTTCTTAACTGTATCTCTGCTTCTGATGATGCCTATATTGAAATGCCCCAACTCCCTTTGCTATCCAAATCCAAATTCTACTCACCTTTTATTTATTTATTTTGGGGGGGGCAGAGGGAGAGAGAGAGAATCTTAAGCAGACTCCATGCCCTGTGGGGAGCCTGACGTGGGGCTTGATCTCACAACCCTGGGATCATGATCTGAGCTGAAATGAAGAGTTGGATGCTTAACTAAGCCACCCAGGCAACCCTCTACTCATCTTTTAAACCCCAGTATATTTCCTATTCTTCCATGGTTCTTTTTCAGTCATTGTCAACTCTCTGTATATTTTTTCCTCCGAATAACTCACTGGCAATTGCTTTGTAACATTACTTTGTATAAGCCAGGACTCTTTCAGTTGCAAGTGACAGAAACCCAGCTTCAGTAGAGCTTAAGAAAAAATACTTGGCTGACTTCAGTGTGATGGCTTTATTCTCAGGCAGTTTCTTTCCAGTGGGAACAAAGATAACCACAAGCAGCCACCTAACCTGGAAAAAAGAACATAATCTTATATTCAGCACCCAAATTTCTCTGATTGGCCTACCTTGAATCTCATCTCCATTCTTGAACCTGTGACCACAGAGGGATGGAATACTTTAACTGACAAGCCTGGGTTCTGAGTCTATGGTGTGAGAGTGGTGATGTCCCTTAATTAACAGATGAACAGCTGCGGAAGAACAGTTCTCAAAATGAAGGGTTGTAGGAACAACTAAAATGAAACAGATACATGCTGTATTTATATTAGTATTTTGAGAGTCTTTTGAATCTTGTATAATTATTTTAGTTTTAAAGTTTTCTTTTTAACTCCCCTTTTAAAATTATGTTGGAGATTGTATAGTGAGATTTTTATACCCTTTTGTGTGGCCAGCTGTACCTTAATCCAGACTCAGTTAACTCATTTTGGTTGATAGATTCACAAAGTATTTTGAGAGTGAAAAATGGGAAACTATAATGTTGATATTTGTTAGCCTTAGTGCTTTAAAAGTTTTAGACCTAGAATCAGTTACTTAGATAATTATCCTTGCCATGTTGGCCTATAGTGTGAAGTTTTATTTATTTTATTTTATTTTATTTTTTTAAAGATTTTATTTATTTATTTGAGACAGAGAGAATGAGAGAGAGAGAGAGAGCACATGAGAGGGGGGAGGGTCACAGGGAGAAGCAGACTCCCTGCCGAGCAGGGAGCCCGATGTGGGACTTGATCCAGGGATTCCAGGATCATGACCTGAGCCGAAGGCAGTTACTCAACCAACTGAGCCACCCAGGCGCCTAGTGTGAAGTTTTAAATGCAGTATCTTGCTTACTGCTGTTAAGTCCATTTTACCGAATGTTTTACAGGAAAATTCTTTTGTCTTATAGATGGATATCAATCTAAAAGAACAGATTGTCATTTTAGATGAAGCTCATAACATTGAAGACTGTGCTCGGGAGTCAGCAAGTTACAGTGTAACAGAAGTTCAGCTTCGGTTTGCTCGAGATGAACTAGATAGTATGGTCAATAATAATATAAGGAAGAAAGACCATGAACCTCTGCGAGCTGTGTGCTATAGCCTAATTAAGTAAGAACATTTGTCTAACAATGTCATTTGTGCTGCCTTTGTATTAAAAACATGTTTTTTTATGCCATAGTATTTTAATTAGTAAACTTTGATCAGGCAACTTAGGAAATGGATTATTCCTTGCCTGTTAAACTTTTAGAAATAGGCCAGTCCAAACTTTTGTCTTGTTCAAAAGAATATAATAAATAATCGATTTTTAAATTGGTAATTGTGAATCTTATTTCTAATTTAACAGAATAATTTAACAGCCCATGTATGATGTGTATAGGACATTGGGCTGAACATAAACTAAAGATGATTTTAAGTAACATTTTAAAATTTTAGATTATGGCTTTAACTTATTGCTTTATCTTTCAGTTTGAGTAGGATTCTGGTTTGATGAATTTTAATCAAGATTTCACTACTTTAGTAGATTTAGTAATAGTTTTATTAAAGTTTACGTTGAATTCCTTTTTATTAGACATTAGGTTGTTGATCTAGAATCTCTTTATCTTAGATCTTGACCCTATATCCTATTCCATTTACTGCAGCAGTTTTGTTTCCTTCATAGTATAAAGGTTTTTTTGAATGTTATATAGTCACATGTTTGAACATAAAAGATATACAACTTTATGTTGTAAAAACTCCTTTCCACCCCATTCCCCATCTGCTTAGTTCCCCTCCTCCTGAATAAGTTTATCCTTCAGTGCATATTTATGAGCAATTCAGTGCATATATGAGCCAATATAGATACTTTCCCCTATTCCTCCATTTTTACCCAAATGATGGCATACTATACTTTCATTTCTTTTGTCTTCTCCATTTTTTTTTTAAGATTTATTTTAGAGAGAGTGTATATGCATGTGAGGGGTAAGGGCAGAAGGAGAGGGAGAGAGAATCTCTAGCGGACTTCCTGCTGAGCGCAGAACCTGACAATACAAGACTTGATCTCACAACCCTGAGATTATGACCTGAGTCAAAATCAAGAGTCAGACACTTAACTGACTGAGCCACCCAGGTGCCCCATTGTCATCTCTATTTTAAGCATAAAAATGTTATTTTTAAAGCCATTTTATTGAGGTATGATTGACATACACAAAGCTGTAAATATTTAATGTATAAAACTTGATGAGTTTGCGGCTAAGTACACATCCATGAAACTATCATCACAATCTATGCCATAAACATCACCTCTGAAAGTTTCCTTCTGCCCTCTGTATTATTTTTTTATAAGAGCACTTAATGTAAGATCTACCCTCTTTGCAAATTTTTAAGTATACTCTACAGTATTGTTAATTATTGGCACTATACTTTTACCTACATTTTCCTGTATCTTGCCTTTTTTCACTTAATATATTTTGGAGATGTTTCCATATCAAGATTTAGAAAGCTTTCTCAGTTTTAAAAAATAGTTGCCTAGAATTCTATTACATGGATGTACAATAATTTAACTAGCTTCTAATTAATAGGTATTGAGGTTTACAATCTTTTGCTGTTACATTGCTGTAATGAATAACTTTGAACATAAATTATTTCAAAATTACGGGAGTATATAGGAAAATTCTTAGAAATGGGATTGTTTGATCTACCTGTAATTCTGACAAGTATTTCTTAAATTTACACAATAAGTGAGCAGGTGGAGGACTAATTTATACTCTTGTGAGCAATGTATGACTGAATGAATGTTGTTTTTTTCTAGTCTGACGGGTGAAAAGTGGTATTCCAGTGCAGTTTTTACTTACATTTCTCTTAATATGATTGGTATTAAGCATTTTTTTAAAAGATTTATTTATTTTAGAGAGAGAGCGGGGTGGGGTGGGGAGAGGCAGAAGGAGAGGGAGACAGAGTCCCAGGCAGACTCCTCACTGAGCGTGGAATCCAATGTGGGGCTCAATCTCACAACCCTGAGCTGAAACCAAAGAGTAGGACACTTATCTGATTGGGCCACCCAAGTGCCCCAATATTAAGTATTTTAAAAGGCCACTTATATTTCCTTTTCTGTCAGCTGTCTGTTGACATCTCTGTCCTTTTTTTGGTTTTGTTACGATTCTTACTGATTTGTAGAAGCTCTTTGCAAATTAACCCTTTGCCTGTCTGTGATAAAAGTTGCAAATACATTTTCCCCTATTTTGCCATGTGCTTGTGTCTTTCCTTGTGGTATTTTTGTCATGTAGCAGTTTGTCATTTTTATTTCACAGCATAATTTGTTGAAAGAGTTGTCTATAGTTGCTAATTCTATTTTCTCACTTCCCAGTCTCTCCTCACTGATGTCAGTTGTGTTGTCTGCAGAATTCTACTAAAACTGTTCTTATCAAGGTCACCAATGATCCATATGTTGCAAAATCCAAAGGTTAATTTTCTGTTATCTTACTCAGCTTCTCAGCGTGTTGTTTGGGTATTGTGGACTCCCACCTCTATGAAAAATGTTTTTGGCTTAACTTCTGTGAAATAATGGAAAATACATACACATTGCTCTCTGTCACTGGTTCCTGGCACAGAGTTCCTAAAACCTTTGTAATTTCCTAAGTGATAAGAGCACTAAGAGCATGTTTGACTCCAGTTCCTGACAGAACTCTTAAATCCTTTGGGATTTCCTGGGTGCTAGGGCTGTCTTTTGTTCTAATGCAGTGGTGCTTAGTGGGCTCCTGGATGGGGGTGGTCACTAGAAAGACTAAACCATGATTAGAAGCTTAGAACTTTCAGGGGCGCCTGGGTGGCTCAGTTGTTAAGTGTCTGCCTTAGGCTCAGGTCATGATCCCGGGGTCCTGGGATCGAGCCCCACGTCGGGCTCCCTGCTCCACGGGAAGCCTACTTCTCCTTCTCCCACTCCCCCTGCTTGTGTTCTCTCTCTCGCTGTCTCTCTCTGTCAAATAAATAAATAAAATCTTAAAAAAAAAAAAAAAGAACTTAGAACTTTCAGCCCCCCGTTCCCTCTGGAAAGGGGAGAGGGAGTGGAGATTGAGTTGATAATAGATCATGCCTACGTGATGAAGCCAGGATTCAGAGAGCTTCCAGATTAGTGAACGTATTTATGTGCTTGGAGCATCCCACCTTTCCAGGGGCAGAAGCTCCTGTGCTCAGACCCTTCCAGACCTCTCCCCATTTATCTCCTCATCTGGCTATTTATCTCTATCCTTTATTATATAATAAATTGGTAAACATAAGTGTTTCCTGGAGTTCTGTGCATTGTTCTAGTAAATGATCACACCTGAGGAGGGGTCATGGGAACCTCAGCTTTATAATTGCTTGGTCAGAAGCACAGATGACATTTTGGACTTAAATGCTGGCATCTGAGGTGAAGAGGTGGGGAGGGCAGTCTGGTGATAACTGAATGCTTAGCCTGTGGGGTTTATGCTAACTGCAGTTAGTGTCAGAATTGAATTGAATCATAGGACACCCAGCTAGTGTCTTGGAGAATTGCTTAGTGCAAGGAAAAAAGAATCCCACATACATTTAGTGACCAAATGTGTCAGAAGTGAACTAGTGAGACAAGAGGAGACATATAGGAGTACTTTTTCCTAGACAGCCTCTATGAGACCTGATTTTCCTTCCTCATAGTTCATTCTTTCTCAGTTTCTTTTGATAGTTCTTATTCTGTTTGATGTCTAAATGTTGAAGTGCTTCAGGACTTGGTCCTGGGACCTCATTTCTTCTCTATCTCTGTACTTTGCCCAAATTACGTAACCGAGTACCATAGTAGTACTAGTAAGGCCTGAATCTGGTCTAGCCCAATCAATAATAAATCTAGATTCTAGTCTGTCTCTGGAATGCTATTTTCATATATCCAACTGTACTTTATTTATGTCTGTTTGGAATTTAATTTTCAACTTTACAAAACAAACTCCTTCCCTTCCCCTACCTACTCCCCCCAAATGCCCTGTCTTCCTTATCTAAGCAAACAGTACCAGCCAGTTCCTCAAATCTGTTATCCTTGATTACTGCCTCACACTGCCACCTGTATAGTATATCCCAAATCCTTCAATCTCATATCTATTATCCCAGAATCATCTCTCAACTAGAATTCTGTAACAGCCTCCAGCAGGTCTCTGCTTTCATTCTTGCCTTCTCCTATAATCCATTCTGGCTTAGAAACTGGAATCATCTTTTAACACTTAAAATAAATTTTCTCTCTCTCTCTCTTTTTAAGATTGTATTTATTTAGAGAGAGAGTGCACTAGTTGGGGAAAGGGTAGAGGGAGAGGAAGAGCGAGAATCTCAAACAGACTCTGCAAGCGCAGAGCCAGACCCCGGGGGTTGATCTCACGACCCTGAGGTCATGACCTGAGCTGAAATCAAGAGTCAAACGCTCAACGGACTTAGCCACCCAGGTGCCCCAGATTGTCTCTCTCTTATTTAAAATACTCCATTTAAGGGGTTCCTGGGTGGCTCAGTCAGTTAAGCATCTGACTCGACTTGGGCTCAGGTCATGATCTCAGGGTCATGGGATTGAGCCCCACATCAGGCTCTATGCTGGGTGTGGAGTCTGCTCAAGATTCTCTCTCCCTCTCCCTATGGTCCTCCCCACCTCCCTGCTCACAGGCTCACGTTCTCTCAATCAATCCAACATTTAAAACCTTCCCCTTTGCATTTTGAGTAGAATCCAGATTCCTTACCTTAGCTCAACATGATCTGATTCCTGCTTATCATCTAACATTGTTCTAACATTGTTCATAATGTTATTCCTTATTACCCATTGTGTTGCAATGACAGTGGCTTTCTGTCAGGTCTTTAAGCAAAATTTGTTTACTACTTCAGAATCTTTGCACTAGCTGTTGTTTCTGCTTGGAATTTTTTTTTTTTTTTTTCTGATCCTTTCATGACAGGGTACTTTTTGCATTCAATTGTTAGAATAAATGTCACCTCACAGAGAACTTCCTTGACATTCAAATTAAAATAGCAAGTAGACTACATTAAGCTAACTTATTTTCATTATATGACTTTTCATTACCTCATATTTTCTTGTTTCATTTATGTGTTTCTAAGTTTATTTTTCCCTTTAGTAGAATGTAATTTCCATGAGAATAAGGATCTTGCCTATTTTACTTATTGCTGTATTTCCAGTACCCGGTCCCAGTCCAGTGTCTGACATAATATAGGCATTTAAGTACTTACTGAATGTAAAAATGTGTATGTATACATAAAAATGAATATATTTTCTAGTAACTCTTTTTTGTCTTAATATGTAACACCTTAATTTCTTTCTTTTTTTTTTTTTTTTAAGATTTTATTTATTTATTTGAGAGAGAGAATGAGTTAGAGAGCATGAGAGGGGGGAGGGTCAGAGAGAGAAGCAGACTCCCTGCTGAGCAGGGAGCCCGACGTGGGACTCGATCCCGGGACTCCAGGATCATGACCTGAGCTGAAGGCAGTCGCTTAACCAACTGAGCCACCCAGGCGCCCTAATTTCTTTATTAGATTGTTTTATATTTCCTTTATTCACATTTGGGATCAGCTCCTATACCTGGTTCTCAGTTGGAAAGATAAAGTAAAGCAGTGTGAATCTAAAAAAACACAACTGGGAAATCACATGCATGTTTCTTTTTTCTGAATAAAAGCTTACTTTTTAGCTATGTAAGTGTTTATTATGTAATATGAAATGTGCGTGCATTTTAAAAGATGTCTTAATTCACATTTGTATCCTAAGAGCTTCAAGGAATATGATCAATGTATCACAGTTCTCTTTGTTTTGTTGAAATAGTGCATGTAAGGTTGATACTGGTTGATGGAATTGTTTTATTTTAGTTGGTTAGAAGCAAACTCTGAACATCTTATGGAAAGGGATTATGAATCATCCTGTAAAATATGGAGTGGAAGTGAAATGCTCTTAAATTTACACAAAATGGGCATCACCACTGCTACTTTTCCCATTTTGCAGGTAAGATTTTTTTTTCCTACCTGTGACATTTATTTAGTGAATTAGAGATGGTTTAACAGTGAATAAATTAATCCACACTTAAAAAACGGCAATTTAATTATTTTAAAATTTTATTATCTAAGTTTGTAATCTTTAACTAATGGTGTAAATTATGGATTGAAAAAGTAGCATTATTTAGTTTGAAAGAAATATGGCTTAAAGGAGTGAATTGTTTTGTTCAAATCTAAAAGAAGTAAATATTTTTAGGTTGTAAAATTATTTTGTTGGTTATAAAATTAAAAATTTGGAAGATAAAAAGATAAGTTCATTTTTTGTTCTCCTTAACTTAGAGGTTATAAACCTGGGTGGATAGAAATCATGAGCGGGCTGGAGGTTACGATGAATCTCATGAAATTGTATGTAAAATTTTATGAGTATGTACTTTTGTACCTTTTTCCGGATAGAGGCTTTCTGACTTATATTGTGAAAGGTTTTTTTTTTCCTTCCTCCAGATGAATGTTTTTCTTTTCTTTTATTATTATTTTTTATTTAAATTCAATTAGCCAACATATAGTACATCATTAGTTTCAGATGTAGTGTTCAGTGATTCATCAGTTGCGTATAACACCTAGTGCTTATTACATCACATGCCCTCCTTAATGCCCATCACCCAGTTACCCCATCCCCCCACGCACTTCCCCTTCTGCAACCTTCATTTTGTTCCTCAGAGTCAAGAGTCTCTCATGGTTTGTCTCCCTCTCTGATTTCTTCCTATTCAGTTTTCCCTCCCTTCCCCTGATCCTCTTTGCTATTTCTTATATTCCACGTATGAGTGAAACGTATGATAATTGTCTTTTTCTGATTGACTTATTTCACTTAGCATAATACCCTCCAGTTCCATCCACATCGATGTAAATGGTAAGTAGTCATTCTTTTTGATGGCTGAGTAATATTCCATAAGCCACATCTTCTTTATCCATTCATCTGTTGAAGGACATCTCGGCTCCTTCCACAATTTGGCTATTGTGGACATTGCTGCTATGAACACTGGGGCAGGTGCCCCTTCGTTTCACCACATCTGTATCTTTGGGGTAAATACCCAGTAGTGTAATTGCTGAGTTATAGGGTAGCTCTATTTTTAACTTCTTGTGGAACCTCCAAACTGTTTTCCAGGGTGGCTATCCCAACTTGCATTCCCACCAGCAGTGTAAGAAGGGTTCCCCTTTCTCCATATCCTCGCCAACATTTGTTGTTTCCTGTCTTGTTAATTTTAGCCATTCTAACTGGTGTAAGTGGTTTCTCATTGTGGTATTGATTTGTATTTCCCAGATGACAAGTGATGTGGAACATTTTTTCATGTGTCTGTTGGCATTTGTACATCTTCTTTGAAGAAATGTCTGTTCATGGCTTCTACCCATTTCTTGACTGGATTATTTGTTTTTTTGGGTGTTGAGTTTGATAAGTTCTTTATAGATCTTGGATACCAGTCCTTTCTCTGATATGTCATTTGCAAATATCTTCTCGCATTCCATAGGTTGCCTTTTAGTTTTGTTGACTGTTTCCTTTGCTGTGCAGAAGCTTTTTATCTTGATGAGGTCCCAGTAGTTCATTTTTTTTTTTAAGATTTTTTTTTAATTTTTATTTATTTGAGAGAGAGAATCAGAGACAGCACAAGAGGGAAGAGGGTCAGAGGGAGAAGCAGGCCCCCCGCCGAGCAGGGAGCCCGATGCGGGACTCGATCCCGGGACTCCAGGATCATGACCTGAGCCAAAGGCAGTCGCTTAACCAACTGAGCCACCCAGGCGCCCTCAGTAGTTCATTTTTGATTTTGTTTCCCTTGCCTTTAGAGACGTATCTTGCAAGAAGTTGCTGTGGCTGAGGTTGAAGAGGTTGCTGCCTGTGTTCTCCTCTAGGATTTTGATGGATTCCTGTCTCACATTTAGGTCTTTTGTCCATTTTGAGTTTATCTTGGTGTATGGTGTAAGAGAATGGTCCAGTTTCATTATTCTGCATGTGTCTGTCCAGTTTTCCCAGCACCATTTATTGAAGAGACTGTTCTTTTTCCATTGGATATTCTTACCTTCTTTGTCGAAGATTAGTTGACCATAGAGTTGAGGGTCCATTTCTGGGCTCTCTGTTCTGTTCCACTGATCTATGTGTCTGTTTTTATGCCAGTACCATGTCTTGATCACAGTTTGTAATGTAGCTTGAAATCAGGCATTATGATGCCCCCAGCTTTGGTTTTCTTTTTCAACATTTTCTGGTGATTCAGGGTCTTTTCTGGTTCCATACAAATTGTAGGATTATTTGTTTCAGCTCTGTGGAAAACGTCGATGGTATTTTGATAGGGATTACATTGAATGTGTAGATTGCTCTGGGAGGCATAGACATTTTAACAACATTTATTCTTACAATCCATGAGCATGGAATGTTTTTCCATCTCTTTGTGTCTTCCTCAATTTCTTTCATAAGTGTTCTGTAGTTTTTAGAGTACAGGTCCTTTACGTCTTCGGTTAGGTTTATTCCTAGGTATCCGTTTTTGGTGCAATTGTAAATGGGATCTACTCCTTAATTTCTCTTTATTCAGTCACATTGTTAGTGTATAGAAATGCAACTGATTTCTGTGCATTGATTTTGTATCCTGCCATATTGCTGAATTACTGTATGAGTTCTAGCAATTTTGGGGTGGAATATTTTGGGTTTTTCACATAAAGTATCATGTTATCTGCGAAGAGTGAGAGTTTGACTTCTTTGCCAATTTGAATGCCTTTTATTTCTTTTTGTTGTCTGATTGCTGAGGCTAGGACTTCTAGTACTGTGTTGAACAAAAGTGGTGATAGTGAACATCCCTGCCCTGTTCCTGACCTTAGGGGGGAAAAAAGCTCTCAGTTTTTCCCCATTGCGAATGATATTCGCTGTGGGCTTTTCATAGATGGCTTTTATGATAGTGAGGTATGTTCCCTTTATCCCTACATTGTGAAGAGTTTTAATCAAGAAAAGATGCTGTATGTTGTCAAATGTTTTTCTGCATCAATTGAGAGGATCATATGGTTCTTCTCTTTTCTTTTATTAATGTGATCTATCATGTTGATTTATTTGTGAATGTTGAACCACCTTTGCAATCCAGGAATAAAACCCACTTGGTCGTGGTGAATAATCCTTTTAATGTACTGTTGGATCCTATTGGCTAGTATCTTGGTGAGTATTTGGCATCCATGTTCATCAAGGATATTGGTCTGTAATTCTCCTTTTTGATGGAGTCTTTGGTTTGGGGATCAAGGTAATGCTAGCCTCACAGAATGAGTTTGGAAGTTTTCCTTCCATTTCTATTTTTTGAAGGAGCTTCATCAGAATAGGTATTATTTCTCTTTTAAATGTTTAATAGCATTCCCTGGGAAATCATCTGGCCCTGCACTCTTGTTTTTTGGGCGGTTTTTGATTACTGCTTCAGTTTCCTTACTGGTTATTGGTCTGTTCAGATTTTCTGTTTCTTTCTGTTTCAATTTTGGTAGTTTATAAGTTTCCAGGAATGCATCCATTTTTTCCAGATTGCCTAATTTGTTGGCATATAGTTACTCATAATATGTTCTTAAAATTGTCTGTATTTCCTTTGTGTTGGTCGTGATCTCTCCCCTTTCATTCATGACTTTATTTATTTATTTATTTATTTATTTATTTATTTTTAAAGATTTTATTTATTTATTTGAGACAGAGAGAATGAGAGACAGAGAGCATGAGAGGGAGAAGCAGACTCCCCGCCGAACAGGGAGCCCGATGCGGGACTCGATCCCGGGACTCCAGGATCATGACCTGAGCCGAAGGCAGTCGCTTAACCAACTGAGCCACCCAGGCGCCCTCATTCATGACTTTATTAATTTGGGTCTTTTCTCTTTTCTTTTGGATAAGTCTGGCTAGTGGATTATCGATCTTATTAATTCTTTCAAAGAACCAGCTTCTAGTTTTCGTTGATCTCTTCTGCTCTTTTGGTTTCTGTTTCATTGATTTCTGCTCTAATCTCTATTATTTCTCTTCACCTGCTGGGTTTAGGCTTTACTTGTTTTTCTTTCTCCAGCTCTTTTAGGTATAAGGTTAGCTTGTGTATTTGAGATTTTTCTAATTCTTTGAGAGAGGCTTGTATTGCAATGTACTTCCCTCTGAGGACTGCCTTTGCTATATCCCAAAGGTTTTGAAGAGATGTGTTTTCATTCTCATTAGTTCCATGAATGATTGAGTTCTAGTTTCAAAGCATTGTGGTCTGAAAAGGGGATGATCCCAGTCTTTTGGTACCGGTTGAGACCTGATTTGTGACCTAGGATGTGATCTATTCTGGAGAATGTTCCATGGGCACTAGAGAAGAATGTGTATTCCGTTGCTTTGGGATGGAATGTTCTGAATATATCCGTGAAGTCCATTTGGTCCAGTGTGTCATTTAAAGTCTTTATTTCCTTGTTGATCTTTTGCTTAGATGATCTGTCCATTTCAGTGAGGGGGGTGTTAAAGTCCCCCGCTATTATTGTATTGTTGTCAGTGTGTTTCTTTGCTTTTGTTATTAATTGCCTTATATAATTGGCTGCTCCCAATGTTAGGGGCATAGATATTTACAATTGTTAGATCTTCCTGTTGGATAGACCGTTTAAGTAGGATATAGTGTCCTTCCTCATCTCTTATTACAGTCTTTGGTTTAAAATCTAATTTGTCTGATATAAGGATTGCCACCCCAGCTTTCTTTTGGTGTCCATTAGCATGGTAAATGGTTTTCCACCCCCTCACTTTCAGTCCGGGGGTGTCTTTGGGTCTAAAATGAGTCTCTTGCAGACAGCATATTGATGGGTCTTGTTTTTTAATCCAGTCTGATAGCCTGTGTCTTTTGATTGGGGCATTTAGTCCATTCACATTCAGGGTAACAATTGAAAGATAGGAATTTAGTGCCATTGTATTGCCTGTAAGGTGACTGTTACTGTATATTGTCTCTGTTCCTTTCTGGTCTATGTTGCTTTTATTTATTTATTTATTTATTTATT